TGTTGCTTCCAACCACTGATGTTTGGTCCATCTGGCTTTTTCATTCCACAGAACGATGGGGAAGCTCCAGCCTTTTAATGCATTTCCTAAGGACCATTTGGTCAGTTCTAGATCCAGGACCATCTTTCACCTGTATTCCTGAACACTCAGAGGATTTAAAGGCTTGTGGAGTGGAGCTTAATTCAGTTGGAGGGTTTCAAATACAGTGGTACCTTGGCTCACAAACTTAATCTGTTCCAGGACTCTAGTGGTGACCCAAATTGGTGGTGGGCCATGTTAAATTTCCCCATAAGCTTCAGTGTAAATAAGGTTAATCCATTCTGTAACCATTTTTTTAAATCAGAAAAATGTGAAGCAAAGTGACAAAGACCAACAAAGATCATGGCCATCCCCCCCACCCCGTGCACAAGCGCAGCCATCTCCCCGCACCCCCAGCACAACCGAGATTGAGCCTGTCATCCCTGCATGCACCCGTCATCCCAGTGCTCTGGGGGGTGGGGGGACAGGCACGATCGCGGGCGCGCTGGGGGAGGGAGAGACGGGCGTGATCGCGACCATCTCCCCCCACCCGCCCCCAGCACAATCACGGCCTTCTCCCCACTCAGCAGGGTGGGGAGATGACCACAATCATACTGGTTGGGGGCGGGGGGAATGGCGCCTGCCTTTCCCGCAGGAGCGTGCCCGTGATCACACACGTCTTCCCTGCACTCGGGGGGGTGGGGAGATGGTTGCAATCTTGTTCACGACCCGATTTGGTCGTGAACCAAGACGTTTGTGAGCCAAGGTACCACTGTATCAGCACTCTGCTCACATTCCACATGCTGGCTCTCAGGAGTTAAACTGTGGCAGCTAATGCTGCAGCCTACCCCAATCAAGTTCTCCCTCTCATGAATTTGCCTTTCCATACTGCTAATTTCAGGTTGCCTTTACACAGACGTGTGGTGTGGTGGTGTCTGGTTTGGGTTGAACACAGACTGCTTTGGCAAGGCTTCCAACTTTTACATCTTTCCACCTTAAGTTTTTTTTTTTTTATTCTCACCCACCTACTCTGTCTCCTAGAAATCTGTGTTATATTCATTCAACAGTTCATGTTACAGTAAATATAAAATACAGTGGTATTTAAATGTCAGAGAGTCTCTCCCCTGGAGGTGATCAAGAGCAGCTAAGCCACAGGACAGAAGGACGATTCTCCTTCCAGAACATCTGCCCGATTAAGCCACTTTTCCTTCCACAGAGCTTTACATTTGTGTCTTCCAGAACTTAGAAGCCCACATTTTAAAAAATAATTGACACCCTTCAGGGGGAAGAGCCACTCCAGCATGGTTCCAGAAATTAAAGAATAGAGCAGGACACCTTTCCCTGTTCTCCTCCCAGTCCACCTTTGACGTCCTTAGAAATAGTCAACTAATTGCCTCACTTCAGACAGTGGGACAACTACAGAAGGTCCTCTGCAGATTTATGGAGACAGGTTAGTATCCATATATAAAGATAGCAACCTGGCAGTATCTTCTCACCTCACGTGAAGTGTCCAGACAGTCTTTACGTGCTGTAGGATACAAAAAGTAGGTGGATGGAATTTCTAGGTTAATAGGACATGAATGACCATGGTCAGAGCTCACTGTCCCGGAAAAGCCATATTTGGCATCACAGCTGTCCTTGGTAAAAAGATACTGCTAGTACTTCCCACCCCTTAAGCAGTTCAGGGCCAGATCAGGGCACATGCTTAGGCCTATGTATTCAGCCTGTGTCTTCAAGGATCTGCAACACTGATGCACAAACTTGGACCAAGGAGCCCTGGTTCAAGTTCTCACTCAGCCACAAAACTTTCCAGGTGATCTTGGGCATGTTGTATGTATGTATGTATTTATTTTTGACTTTGAGAGCTGCTCACTAGAGTGACATGCTCCATAGTTGCTGTTCCAGGTACCTCACAATGCTACTGTAGGAATAAACTAAGCTATCCCTGAAAATGTTGCCCAAAGCTCCTTCAGGAAGGGTACAGAGATACTGTAAAAATAATAGCTGCCACAGCCGGAAACAAGCATTAAAATGAAATTAACAGTGCAATGCTGTACATAACGTAAGACCCATTGTATTCAATAGGGTCTACTTAGATAATTGGATATGGAATTGTAGCTTAAATGGGTCAGAAGTGCTGATCTGGATTTATACTTTTCACTTTAGTGAGCCTCACTTGTTCATCCTATTTTCTTTTGCATTGAAAAGTTGAAGCCCTTGTACTATTGCTGAACTTAGATTTCCTTAATAGACCTGGTTTTACATGCACACAGCATTTTCTTCATCAGAATTGAGAGATCAAAGGACAATATTAATATTCACAAATCCAGGACATTATAATGTAGTCATTAGAGAGAACTTGAAATAGCCGCTGTGAAATTTTTGTTCAAAACACCCTTGATTGCACTTGTACCACTGCCCCCACCCCACTCCTGGATCCGGATGAATTCTCCCCATGGCCTTGTAATCCCCAAAGACAAACTCCCAGGAAAGCAGAGTTAATGCATGTTTTGATTCATTGGGGCATCTTAAAGCTTGCAGCAGTAGTAAGAATTACAGCTTTCATGGTGAAAAGTGCCCCAGTTCTGCTTCTTATGTGTAGCTGATACTTAGGTATTCTAGTCCAAGCAAAGCTGTCAAAATCCATCATGTTAACACTGTGCTTGTAGCAGAGGTTATGAAGAGGAAAGTGTATTTTGATTCTACTTTCAGGAAAACCCTTTCCCTTTAGTACTATTGAATAAAATTGAAACTCAAAACAAGTTAAAGCAGTTTCAATATTTAAACACCTAAACAGTAGCATTGTACAGTGCTTCACCTTATTCTTCTGTTTTCCTTTAAATCATAGCTATTATACCTCAAAAATGCCTAAGGTGTTTATTGTAAGGATTGGCCACAAACTAGAAAGTGATGCTATTACTTGCCATGAGTTTGCATTAACCACAGTTAAGCACTTCCATAGGCAAACCAAGGTTAAGGAGATTTCCCCAATTATCCTGCTTAGAAGGTGACAAGGATGTCCTGCTAGGTTCTCCCTGGGAGAGGTTAGTAGCTCAGCAGGTTGAGCCACAGTTTTATTGTGCACATGGGTGGAATGTTAAGAGTGAAGCAATAGACCACCATTAAGGTTAACCAAAGCTGAGTTTTATGTCTGCATTGGGCCAGTTTCTTCTTGTCCCAGTTTGAAAACTTCTCAGTGTTGTGTGTGATGTTAAGGCTAGGATCACATCAAGTATTAATTGAGAACCTGGAAAAAGAATGAAATTTAAAGCTGGTTGTTGGCAAGTCTTCTACATTATGGATTCCAAAGGCAACAGATTCATGTCTGAAGTTGTCAAGTGACTGACAATTTGATGTAGGACCCTAGGAATTTGGAATATTTACTGCGTGCTATCACAATTCAGAATATTGTTTTAACCAACACTGACCGCCCAAAATTTAGAAAAGTAAGATTTAATATCATGATTAAAGGAATCAGTTGAGATGAGGGGATGGTCTATAGCAGCCTAAGACAGCATGACTCATCTTTGTTACTGGATATTAAAGTAAGAGTCTTATTCACAGATTCTGCAGAACTTCACAGTGCTTTTGAGGACATAGTTATTTTCAAAGCACTCTGCTCTCAAATCTCAGGAAAGTTCATAGGGATTGTAATGCAAACACAGCTCATTAGCCATATATTGGAACTTAACCAAGAGTTTTCTGAACCTCACATTTTCACGGTTGGCCTGAGTCTGCCTGAACAGGAAGGTTGCCAAGCATTCAGCAGGATGTAATGCAGCTTTCCCCAACCAGATGCCCTCCTAATAGGTTGGACTGCAACTCCCATTATTCCCTGCCAGCATGACCAGTGGGAGATGCAGTCCAGCACAACTGGATGGCAACAGGTTGGAGAAGGCTGCAATGACCCATAACCGGTCAACTGTATTTAGCTTGTTGGATTGCAAGTGATGCAGCCTTTTTCTAAATTAGTATTATAACTATTTTAGCATTTCTTATCTGTTCTTATGTTTGCTGTATTTTGATTAGTTATATTGCCATTTGGTCAATTGGAAACAAAATATTAACAATGCAAGTGTTCTAATACACTGTTATTGAAAGCGTTGGTCCATTTATTCCAGGGGTCCTCAAACTTCTTGAATAGGGTGCCAGTTGAAAGGCTGCAGTGACCATAGCGGGCCGGTGAGGTAGGGGTGCCTGGGGACGCGGGCTGGTGAGGTGCCGTCAGATGCGTGTGAGGTGGCATCAGGCATGCGCGGGGGTGGCTCACTCGCTCGCTCGCTCGGAGATCTCCCAGTGAGTCCAAAACCATCTCCGAGCGAGCGAGCGAGCCACCACCCTCCTGCCCATGCAGCAAGCATGCACGCAGGTGGCAAACAGCAGTGTGGACCAGATGGATGGTTATGGTGGGCCGGATCCGTCCCACAGGCCATAGTTGCAGGACCCATGATTTATTCTCTTTTTTTCTTCTCAAGGGAAGGTTTAATCTGGAAAGTTTTAGAAATTTACTGTTTGCATACTGCTGCTGTTGCTATGTTGGGCTTTGTATTCACCTCAGTCTTAGTATACTATGTAGGAATCTCTGAAAGGGTGGTGTTGTAAGAAGGCAGATGAAAAGTAGATGTTGGTAAAAGTAAACTATTATCCCCAAAAGGTCTAAGCAGCATAGCTATTTTCAATACATTTATACATGTGTGAATAAAATTATAAAGAGCAATAGCACATGCTAAAATATCTATACCTGACATATTTTAGGCAAACTAAAATATGGGTCTAGTTTGTTAAAACATAAAGTCTTTGTTTACAAGCCTATAAAACATATTAAAAACATACCGTTCGAACATGTTTTGAATGTTTGCCAGTTAAGTTATCCCAGTTCATCCACCACATTTGGTTATTTTGCTGGGACATATTAGCCTTTTACTTTGCCTTGCTTTGCTTTTGAAGAAGCAAATTCACTAATGGTTTTTCCCTCCTGACAGAATTCCAGAGGCAGGACAGTGCAAAGCCCCAGCAGAAAGACATTCAGCTGTATGACACACCTTATGAACCTGAAGGCAATGGCGTGGAGTCCGATTCAGAAAGTGTTGTGAGTCAGCGCTTGAGAGAGAGCAAATTGCCTCAGGATGATGACAGGCCTGCAGATGAATATGACCAACCGTGGGAGTGGAACAAGGTCACCATTCCAGCCTTAGCAGGTGAGAAACCAGTTTTTACAGCTTCCTTTTGCTTTGTCTTGGGAGATACATAGAGTATTTTTAAAACAGGGGAAAAGATTGTCGGTCATTTCCAGTATAAATGCTTCTGTAGCTATAGCTGAGATAGCTAAATGGAACCTCAGTGTGCATAGATATCTTGCCCCTGAAGTCAAATGGAAATGGTCAGATCTGTAAAATGGTATCCAGATACAAAGGTTGGAATAGCTGTTGTCCAGCACAGAGTCCTTAAAGTCAGGTGTAGGACGCAGGGCTGGCTGCAGGTCAACCAACTTCCCAACTGTGGGCATACCTGACAATAGTGGGTGGGTATCAGCTGCTGCCTGCCATGTTAAACTTTCCACGATGCTGTGGAGTGCTCAGTGTCACATGACTGTATTGAAAACTTGGGACATTCCAGGACATGTTTCTGTTTTATGCATGCTGGGTTATCTTTCTCAGACGAGCCACTCTGAGAACCCTTGGCTTGTTGCAGGGTTGTTCATACCTATAGTGAGTTGTTGTATCGTCCAGCCCCAAGAGAATGATTTTATCACGTCTTTCCAGCATCAGCTAAAGAGCCACTGAGTAAGAACTGCAAAAAGGCCCATGTTGTTGTTGTTCTTTGTGACCTTGCTGGTGCTGCCTCCGGCCTGTTTTGGAGGAACCATCACTGTTCACCACATTTTTAACAGTTTTAGAAGCTTTGGGAGTATGCAAATGCAGTCGTTTTATTACTGTTATCCTTTCCAGATCTACTACAAGTGTTCAAGAGCACAGGTTTGCCTGTCTTGTCCGTTTCCTTGTATGTTTCAGCTGTCAAAGGAAAGATGAAGTGAGAGAAGCAGGTGCATCAAAAAGGAGTGGGCAGTATCTCCCTCTTGGCAATGAAATCCTCTTGCAATAGCAATTGCAATTGCTGAACTGACATCTGTCAGTGGCCTCCTCCCATTCAACATTCCCCCACATCTTCAGGAAGCCCAGAAAGGCAAGATACTGGCTCTTCCCCCTCCCCCCACCCCCTCCAAAGCATAAAACTGTTCCAAGAAAAGGCCGCCAAAAGCAGAAGAACCTGTACCCCCCCCCCTTCTTCATATCCTTGTTGGTTGTTGACTTGAGGAATGGGGGGAGAACACTATCAGGAGGATTACATTGGCAAGTAAGAGATATTGTCATGCCATCTTCCGGCATATCTAAAGTTCTTGCATTTCCCCCTCTCCTTTTTGGTGCTCTGTTGTTGTGCAAATAGGTTCTTCCTCTCCTTTAACATTATTTTTCCTCTGGACCTTAGCAACTGTGTGCAACCTAGCCAATGTACAGGCTTGTTTTCTTGTCAATATCCTTGCATGCGCCATACTTACCTTAAAAGGAAAAGGAGTAGCAATAAAAGTAGGGAAGCTATCAAAGTAGAACTAGGAAACAAGGTTGGGTTCTGCTGCAACAGCACTTGGGATACACGCTGGAGCTGGTTGGATGACTGAAGGGGAAAGAGATGAAAAACAAGACACAAGAAGCACAGTGGTTTATTAGGTATGCTGTTGTTTGTTCTGCAAACAAGCCCACCGTGGCTTAATTGCAGGGTAGCTTAGAATGTTGTGCAAACCCGGCCATTGTGAAGGCCTCTTACTATCAATAACAGGGTAGGTTATTGCAAAACATTGGGTGGCTTTGCATGTCATGACCAAGCACCCTGGCAGTAAGTCATGGTGGGTTGGCTGTTCCCTGGACGATCCACAGTACACAAAACAGATGATTGTGCTTGTGGTGGGTTATTTGCCCTCTTCTTCCCCCTCGTGTATTCCAGAAGAACGCCCCTGCAACACCATGATTACAAACCATTTTTGGCTTACTGTGTTTTGGTTTTGGTTTTGTCTTTGTTCATTTGTTTCTTCACATTTTTTTCAATCGCTCCAATACAACCCTTTGTTTTAAGGCTGCAGGTTTGACAGTTGTCAAGGGAATCGAAAAGAAAGAAAAGGCCCATTTGTGGACTCTTTGGGTCAATGTTCAGGGCTACTACTTGCTGTACTATGACAGCAGGAACCTCCCAGGACATTGCCTCAACCAGGGCTTCCAGTAGCCACACCTGGGGGGAGTACTTGTCCATAGTTATGCAAGCACAGCAAAAAGAAGATAAGAAGGAAGGGGAGAGGAGAGAAATTTAAAATAAAAGGTGTGCCTCAACCACTGACAGGCCCTCCATCATGCCTCCCACCTTTCCAAAAAAGTCAAAGCTGTAAAAAAAGTTGCAGCAAGCCGAAAATAGCTCACAACAGTGACAGGGAAGATCCAGCCAGTTCCAATCAACCCTAAGTACCTCGTGGGCACTTGTGAGGTGGCTGATAATGGCAAGCTTGGCAAGAATGGCAGGGGGTGTGCACTGCCTTTGGCATGCAGATCTCCAGCCAATTCCTGGTACCCACACCAAGTGACATAACAACCCACTGTGGATACAACGGCCCCTAGAAAAACCTATAGATTGGCAAGATGACTTCTTGCCCTCAAACAAGCCACCCTGCAAGGATTGGTCTGGGTTTGCATGACACAAAAAACCATCATGGGTAACAACTCATGATGGGTTGTCCTCTCAAGCAAACGCAGACACTGATACTCTCTCTCTACTTCAGGCAATTAACCAGTAATGGAAGCTAGGCTTCACTATGAACATAGGAAAAGGAAAACACAAGATCAACCTGTTGCTATTGCAGATGGGGTCACAGACTTGAGAAGAGAAACAAAACCAATAGAGACACAGCAATCCAATATTTTAACGGATACATCCACATTCACTTTTGCTTAGGACTTCTCACTTATCAGATATTTACCCAGGAGCCAAAATATTCCATATTTACAAAATAGTACTCCTGCCCTATGTTGATCTTGGTGGTCACTCCTGAAATATGATGTTCTTTTTACAAATAATAGCAATCAGTGAGTGAATCCTGATTTTCTCTTATCTGAGGTCTCCACTTTTTTAAAAAAGTGAACTAGTCCAGCATCCCAGCAGAAACGAGGGATGGCTTATTTGCTGGTCTGTTATCAGGCATATAAACCAGCCATACAGAAGCAGTGTGGCAGGTGATCTTGCTCTCCAGCTATTTCAGCAACTCTTTCAACAGGCTATAAAAACTGCTTGTGTTCCTTATAGTAATAGTTTGGTCAGTTCAGACTTCAATTACATGTCCTGAAGTGCATTTAAGAGGCCTTGCAGCCGAGCCAGGAACTGTAGAGGGCTCTTGTTATGCCAGCTGAAAGAGGAGAGAATGCTGGACTCTCAAGCGCAATCCTTAAGTTTGCCAAGGAAACAGGCAGTTTGCACCTATTAGATGCTGCTACATTGCAGAAGTACTTTGGCTTTTAATGTTTTGGGCTGTAATACAGCTCTCTGCATCATCTGGGTATGGCAGGGCAACAGAGACATTTTGCCACCGCTGTTTATATACAAAGGAGACAACCATCAAACATATTAGCCTAGTTCACAGGATCACCATGGCATAAATAAGCCATGATACTGGGCACCATTTCCCTAATGGCTTGTTGTGTCCACGGGTTATGTGAAGGTTGTTCCTCCTTCTAGAAAGCCATGCTACCTGCATTCAGGCAGCACAACAAGCCATGTCTAGGTGGGCAATTAAGCCAATTGTGCCATGGTTTAAATGCCAGCAAGTGCCATGGTGATGGTACCAACTTGTGCACAATAGGCTGCTTCATTAGATGCCAGATGCCCACATGCACATCCATACCCTGTAGAGCCTCAATATTCCTCCTAGGGGGGCATCTTGCATTTCTTCTGCTTCCTACCTATGCATTCACAGGAACAGAAATATACTCCACAGATGAATCTAGACACTCCCTGCTCTCTGGGAGGAAAAGCAGATTTTGGCTCAATGTCTGTTGTCTCCGGCTGCCAACATAAAGCAGTAGTCAAGGAAGCCCACCCTGGTCATGGGTTGGGGGAGGAGAAGGAGGAGGAGAATCGAAAGAGGGTAGTAGTGGCTATAGGCTGTGACATACCCCACTGTCATGGGATGGTCAAATGGGGATTTGAGTCCCTTTGTTTTCACCCAACAAAAATCTCACACCTGACACTCCAGTAACCAATGGAGAAGGCATAAGGAACAACCTGTTTTTTTAAACAAGTTTCTTTGCTGGTTTGAAGCAAAAGGAGATGCAGACAAGGGTTGTAGGTGCTGCTCTTGCCCAAGAGCAGAGTGATGGATGCGCCTTCCAGAGAAGTTACCCCATTTCCTTTCACTGAAAGTAAACGCTGCAATTATTCATAACTGTGTGACCGGATACTGGAATGATTCCTTATCACTAATTGAATTCCTGGCAGAAGTAAGAAGAGTCTCTTGCAAAAACAAAACAATCCCCTAACCAGCCTTCTGGGTAATGGTTTGTATTTTGATGTTATGTTTAATTTTAGATTACAATAGATGGGGAGAAACCGTGTGTTACAAATTGTTCTTCTCCACAACATAATGTAAATTTTATTCAATCTGAAACAGCAGCTGTGAAGGTAGATTGGTACAGATAGATAGTCACAACACTCTTTATGCCTTTTTCTCTTCCTGTATTAGTAATTCCTATTGGTATTTTAGTTAATTGAAATCACAAATTAGTAGTGTTGTTGCAGCCAATATATACTGAATAATAAATAGTTGGCACAGTGAAAGGCAAGTCATGGTATCGAACAGCTCAGCAATGTAGCTTCTAGCTTCCCGAGATGGAACACCCACTGTAACTACAGCTTGTTAATTCGGATAGTGCCAAACATTATGTTTCTTAGTACAAACCATGGTTAGCAAATGCACTTGAAACTTTGGTTCCTGATTCTTATATTTAGGCTGATCATAAGCTATGTTTTGTCAACTTAAGCATCATACCAGCCATAGGAAAGCTTTTCAACCATGGGTTCAGCATGATGTCAGAATTGACATACTGGCCTGCTTTGCATACAACCACAAACTAGGTTTGTTCAAACCCTGGATTGTCATGAATGA